ACCAGGTGCTCGCCATCGTGCCCCACCTCCAGGCCTGGCTCCAGAGGGGGGCACCGGTGACCCGCGTCCGGGCGAAGGAACATCCGATCCAAAATTTTCTTTCATCATAAGGGGTCTTCGGGCTGCGCTTTGTCTGGTTCCTCACCTAGGACCTGTCTGCCATGGGTGACCCTACCAGGGGCATAAAGCCCCAGACAGCATAGCTCCTAGGATCATTGGGACACTCAAACCCCTCCACCACGATAAGGTAGCAGCCCAAGGAGAGGAGAGGATGTTATCTACATATCCAATATAAATTTGGCCCTTTTAATTTTATTTTATTTTTTACCTTTGCAAGTTTACACCAACTAGGCAAAAAAAAAAATCAGTTTTTGTGTAAAAACTGAAAATTTGAGGTTGAATGGGGAAAATATTCTTGTTGTTCTGGGCACTACTCTGGTGCTGCATGTAAGATAGTGAAAAGGAAAAGATGTTTTTCAGGAAATTTTTCTTTTGCCTTTTTGCTGAGTTTYGTTTTGAGTTTAGGAGATCTGGTGAAACAAACTGAGATCTCTTCACCTCACGATCTTTCCTGTGCTTTATCCAGGTGTGATTCCAATTCCTGCACAGATGATTACCCTCAGATATTATTGCCAGAAAATTCTCCGTCACAGAGCAACCTAGCCTTAACCCCAGAGCCTGCTGGGTAAGCACATGAAAATGGTTGGATAGCCTCGCTATGTGTACCTGATGTTTTGATAGAAAGTGTTTGTTTTTGACTTTATGTAGAATGGGCCTTCTGTCCCCACCCTCCACCTTTAACTTCCCCATGTCAGGAGGAGACGGACAGTCCCTCCAGAGGCATCGCTCTACCTCCACTCCCAACGTTCACATGGTCAGCACGGTGGACCTCGCCACCATTAGCGGCATGGAGGTAAGTGGCCATACTGTTCACTTGTCCAAAAACATACTTGTGTTTGAATTATTAACACTAACTCTGCTGTGGTGTTCATACTTTTTAGGAGGCAATGAAATTCAACACAATAGGTACAGCATCCTTCCATCTGCTGTTTTTGTGTTATCAGTTTTAGTCTTCTGCTTTTGAATCGACTTTGAGTTTGATGCTCCTCATCTCTGCAGGTCCTGAGCCTTCACCAAAACCCTCGACCAGCCCACCCTCCACTCTCGGTTCTCCTGGGAGGAAACCACCCAAGTCCCCCTCAGAGCACAAGGAACGAAAACCTTCCTCATCTGATGACAAAAAGAAAGTGGTAGGTTTTTCTTTAGTTTTGTTCTCAGTTTTGTGTTTGTCTTCAGACAGGAGCAAATCCAGTCAACAGCCATGAATGTCATCCTTCACATTGTACAAAAACAAAAAACAAAACATTCTGTTACTGTGTTACTTTAGCACCGAGGAGGCTACAGAGACTCTAGTTACTACTGGGAGGTATCTCATCGAGAAGTCACTGTTCTGAAGAGGATAGGTACTGGATCCTTTGGGACAGTCTACAAGGGCAAGTGGCACGGCGATGTAGCAATCAAAATCCTTAAAGTCAAAGAGCCAACACCTGAGCAACTGCAGGCCTTCAAAAATGAAATGCAGGTCCTTCGGTAAGCAAAACTTGTTTTTCCTCTTGACTTTAAGTCATAATGTATGTTCTTACTTCACAGGAACACTACCGTATTTTTCAGACTATAAGNAATAAAATGATTGTGTAATTTAAATGCATTGAAACACCTGGTTAAATTTAGAAGATATGATTAACTACAAACACCTGAACCTGACTCGGAGAACTCTGTGATTTTAGAAAAAATGAAAGTCAAACGTTGATACATCTTTAAAAGACGCCCCACCTCCTCCTCCCCCACCCCGCGCAGCTGTGGTGGAGGAGGAGGAGCCTGTGGAGCCTGCACCTCCACCCCATTTGCGTGTGATTAATAAATTACTGATTTTTGATTCTCATACAAGTAACCATCTGAAGGGGTTGATTTATGGACTTTGAAGTCCTGGGCTGTTCAGAGCCACACTGCAGGTGGACAGGTGCAGCAGCTGCGGTCAAACTGCCTCTCAGCCCTCACTTTAAAACCAGTCAGTTGATCTGTTGCGGTTTTGTTGTGCTCGTGAACACAGGAGAAATGCTGCAAAGCGCTTTTAGAAATATAATATATATAAAATACAACGTAATCCTTGGTGGAAAATAATCCAGGAAACGCTGATGGCTTTCCCGGGAGGTGCTCACCTGAGCTGAGGGAAGCTGACCGCCCACCCACAGAGAAAGGAAAAAAAAGGCAGCGCTGTCAGTCAGACAGCACGACCCGCCCTGCTCTGTTCTGATTGGGTAAAACTTTGACTCTGATTCTCTTGATTGGGTGAAAGAACAGTCACTTTAATCCCTAGATGGCTTTAACAAGTTTTTTTCTCTCGTTTATTTTAACAATGAAGAACACCCGCGGAGGAAAACTTAAATCCAGGTCTTTTCTTCTTTGTTGTCCACCGGACAACTAGGAGACAGGAGCTGGTTGTCCGAAACAAAAATAGTTTGTCTTGAACAAACTAAACAATGATTGTGTCAACCCCTGTTTTACATTGAATAAAAAAATTAATAAATAAACTTCATTCCAAAAGTATAGCGGCTTTTATTTAGCCGTGGCTGTGCGCCACGATCAATTACATGTAGGGGAAACCCTGGTAGTTTTCTTTCTGCTACCAAATAACATGTAGTTAGTATTTTATCTTAATTTAATTATTGTTTTTTTAAGTTAGAAATTAGGTTTGTATTTTCACAAATTCTGCCTGTATTATCTCTAACATTCATTTAATATTTTCTCCTGAATAAAGAAATGTGGTATCATCTGCAAATAAAACACACCTCAGAAGCCCTGACACATTGACCAAATCAAGTGGTTTGCAAAAGTATTCATACCCCTTGAACTTTTCCATATTTTGTCACATTACAACCACAAACATAAATATATTTCACTGGAATTTAATGT